CCCTACCTATGGTCACCAGTATGTACAGCTGTGAGAACAGAGTTTGATCCATTCATCTAGTATCCACAGCTGTCTGGGGCATCCCTGTGTGAGCAGGAGGGGTTGCAGAAGGGTGTCTGAGACTATGGGTGGGTGCCCAGCAGTAGCACTGGGGGCCCTGCAAGTGGGCTGGGAAGCCAGGCAGGGCTGCTGCAGAGGCTGCAGCTGCAAATACTCCCTGCATGCTGCACCCAGTTTTCTTCTCTTGTGCTATTAAAAGTGGATGACCACAGGAACAGATTTTTGAGAAGAAACTGCTGACTGACACAGGAAACAAGTCAAAATCTTTATCCACTCTGGTTCTCTTTCTGTAATATATCACCTCTGCACTGTCATCTGGAGAGGTCTCTGAGGCAGCCAAGACACTTGCTTTGTGCAGACAGAGCAATTTTTTAATGAAGGTGATCATCTTTCAGCTTGCCCTGGGACAACTAGACCACATAGGTCAAGATAAACTTGAGCTTTTTCTTTATTAAGGGAATATAATTCCTCTGGCTTTTTTGATGGCCCCCATTCTTACTTTGCTAGCAAGAATCTTCACAATGAAAGGAAATGGAAAAAGCAGTCATGTCACAATGACCAAGGCAGATTTCTGTAGTTTATCAAGACTACTGAGAGGCAAAAGGAATCTGTTCTCTGCTCTCAAGACCTTCTCATTTAGTAACCTTTAGAATAATTTGTTTGTTTCCTTTAGGAGTTGCTGAATCACTTCTCCCCGGACTTGACTCATTCAAGGTCCTGTGTGTGGGTTGGGGCAATCCTAAGCACAAATACAGGTTGGGTGGAGGAGCAGCCCTAAGGAGAAGGACTTGAGGGTGTTGAGCTGGCAATGTGTGCTCACAGCCCAGAAAGGGAACTATAGCTTGGGCTTCATCAAAACGAGCATAGCCGGCAGGTCGAGGGAAGTGATTCTACCCCTCTGCTGCACTCTGGTGAGACCCCACCTGGAATACCAAGTCCAGCTCTGGGGTTCTCAGCACAGGAAAGGTGTGGACCTGCTGGAGAAAGTCCAGAGGAGGCCACAGAGGTGATCAGAGGGCTGGAGCACCTCTCCTATGACGACAACCTGAGGGATTTGGGGATGTTCTTCCTGGAGAAGAGAAAGCTCTGGGGAGACCTTAGAGCACCTAAGTGGCCTACAAGAGAGCTGCAGAGGGCTTGTTACAAGGGCATGGAGTGGTAGGACAAGGGAGAATGGCTTTAAACTGAAAGCAGGCCAATTTAGATTAGATATAAGAAAAGTTTTTTACAATGAGGTTGGTGATACACTGGAGCAGGTTGCCCAGAGAAATGGTGGATGTCCCATCCCTGGCAGTG